GTAGTAATTTCGATGGTGAAATCTAATTCAAGTGGGGGAGAATTGTAACATCTGAGTTCCTAGCTATATTACTCATTTAGTTATTTTTAGGACTATTGAGTAACTCGACGAGTTGGTGCTATAACTCGTCGAGTAGAGTCGTCGATGGCCACGTGGGATTAGTGGTCTACTCGACGAGTCCAAGAGTCAACTTGCCGAGTAGACGCTGTGTGGTGAAACCCTAAATCCTCAGGTCTGTGGACTATTTAAGGACACTTATATCCTCCTTCCAATCTCACCAGCAACCTTGCACCCTTGAGAGAAACTCTAATGTCCTTTTGAGCTAGAGGGTGTGAAAGGAGATAATTTTGTGGTCTTTTGGTACATTTTTTTTGAAGAGGAGGGAAGGATTCATCAAGGAACATAAAGGGGGCCAGTAGATCAGTGTTATTTCATCCAAGAGCTTCTGGAGATGGTAAAAAGTTCTTACCTTTCTCCTTGTGGTGATTAAATCCCATGTTTATGATGAATGGGGCTTGCTATTGCCTTTTGTTGAGATATGAGTCCATGGAGTCCCTTTCTAGGTCTAGACTTAAGATCTGGACCTTGTGAGGTCCAGAGAGTCCAAATGATCTAGCTTTATCCAGTCCCTTAAAGAGTTGTTGTGTTCTAGGACCCTTGTTGGAGTTGTATTGGCATTTAGAGCAACATATTCCATGCAAGGTCATAAAGATCAAATCTATATGTGACTTTTCGGCCTTAAGGTACTAGATCTAGAGTTTAGAGTAGTGGATCTGCGTGTAAGAACCTGAATGAGAAATCAGATTTACTGGACTCGACGAGTCCATGAACTGACTCGATGAGTCAGTTATGGTTTGTCCCGACGAGTAAATCGTGCAATAACTCAGCGAGTTGGGAGTCCACTCAACGAGCTGAGTCCGGCGTTCATGAGACTTCTGAGGAGAATGAGTGGACTAGACAAGTCACATGGGTGCACTCAGCGAGTCAGGTCAAACTTGGACTGTTGACTTGAGTTGACTTCTGTTGACTTTAGGGCTTGGTCAACATGAGTAATGGGGACCATGGAGGGGTAAAATGGTCTTTTACCCACTCCAAGAGTTAGAGAGAAAGACAGAACAACATTTGGTGTAATTGGGTATGAGAAAAGTATTAATTAGGGATAATTATGCTATGTGATAGGAGGAGGCTAGTTCGGGATTCCGAGTACGAGACTTTTACTTGCTAGCTTACGAGGTGTGTCTTCTCACTATACCTACCATGAGTGGTATACTATGTGACTGAGATGTCTTACGTGCTTATATTGAGTATTGTGATATCTTGCATTATGTCTTTGTGATTTATGTTGTGTATTATTGTTATAAGCTTATTGAGATACGACCAGAGGGTTCACCCGAGTTGTGGGACCGGAGGGTCTCCACTGAGACACATTGACCGGAGGGTCTTATTCGCATTATAGTCTCGAGTGGATAATGTGATATGTGTGGTATTTTGGGGAACTTACTAAGCTTCGTGCTTACCGTGTTATGTGTTGTGTGTTTCAGGTACTTTACATGATATCGGGAAGGTGCCGGTTCGATTGTACACAGAAGAGAAAGAGTTATCTTTGGAGGATCCTGGATTTGTGAATAAACAATTTAAAATAAAATGTGTTGTTAAATTATTACTTATGATTTTGAGGAAACGTGACATGTGTTTTAGTGTGTTTTGAAATGAAAATTTTACTTGAAATTTTACGGTGTTACATGATCTAACATGGCAAATGATTATATTAAAGTATTTTTTAGATTTTTAAATGATAACAACAATAACAATGGTCTAATCCATTAAATTATAACGATTACATTGAGTAGGGATGAGCGTTGGAGGGAATCAGTACCGATCGGTACTGCTCCCGATTTTTCAAATACCAAATTTAATGAAAGTAAATCCTGAGTACTATACCAAATTAACGTTACCAGTACCGATACCGGGAATGGTACAGGTTTTCGGTACAAGTACAGGTACCGACGATACCATATTCTGAATATTATGATTTTGGAATACCAAGTATTATCCCGTATTTCTAAATTTTGTATCGATTCCGATACGGTACCAGTACGGGATCAAGATTTAGTACAAAATGTTCATCCCTAACATGGAGATAGAGATGAAAATAAGTTAAAAGTATACACTGATGTGTATATTACACCAACTATAATTTAAAACACCATATGTTAAATCTATCTTATCTTAGGATAGGGTCGCACATGGGTATCTACTAAGGTTTGCGATTGTATGTCATACATATTTATCTCTTTCATGTGCATTAGTATTAACAACAGAATATTGACGTGTTATAACGAGTTAGTGACACGTCAATGTTGATATGTGAAAATTCTTGTTTTGACACATTATTTTATAACCATTATCGATTTAACATCGTGAGGATAAAATTAAATTGTCTTAGATTAGATAATTTGGATCAGACTACTTGGTTTGGATATTCATATTTTTGGATTGAATTTCAGCAAAACCAAATTATTATTTTTGATTTCGAATTGATTTTGATTTATAAAATAGAAACGGAATAATATAAAGAAACGAATAACAATTATTTATCTTTTATATATATATATATATATATATATATATATATATATATATATATATATATATATATATACTAAAATGTTTTTATTAGATTAAAAAATTTCATCGAATATGATATCTTAATATATATTTCTTATCAAAAATATTTTCTTTATGAAAACCGAAATCAATTTTGATTCACTTGATCAGATTGGATTAAATTGATCCATCCAAATAAACACTTAATATTATTTATTTTCATTTATACAAAAAATTATATTTGTGACCCCTTTTATTTTTGGTACAAGACCTTCAATATCAATGGACGAACAAATCTCATAGAAATAGACAGACTAAACAATCATAATACATAGAGCAATTAAAAAAAATCATTAGATAATAGAAAAATGATATTAAATCAAACAAAATGCTTATATACTAATTATCTTGTATCATTTTAATTTAATGGGCCATTATGGGCAATAAAAGCAAAGCCTGATTATTATATGGGCCATATATATTTTATATTATCCAGAATAAGCCGAAATGCGAAAGATCTTCTCTAACGCTGCTGCCTGTCCTTCCTACACGATCTCCACCCTCCCGAGGTACGATCGATCTCTTTTTGGTACATACTTTATCGAATCCGATTTCATTACCATTGATTACATTCTTAGGTTCAATTTAAGTATGTCTACCATGTTTGATTTACTTTTTGATTTAAATTAGACTATTTCAGCCCTTTCCAAATCGTAGCGTATGTTTTTGTGGTTTTGGAGTGTGTACAAACAAAGATCCACTTTTAGGTGTTTGTTTTTTTACTAAGTTAATAAAAAAAATTGTTTTTTAATTGTAAATTACTAAATAAATTGAAATTTAAATAAACTGATTTTATAAAACATAAAATAAAAATCTAACAACATTGAAATAAAATAACAATGATAGTTCAAGACTTTGTTTAGTAAACATATATTTGAACTAAATGTGGGTTGGGTGATGGTATTGGTGGGGTTAGGGTGGCAATGGTGGCAGTAGAGGTGTGGATGATGTTATCGTGGTGGTGGTAGCAATGGTGGTGGTTAGTGTTGATGGTAGACAGTGGCGGTGGCGGTAGCGGTGGCGGTGGTGGTGGTGGTTGGGTGGTAGTGGTGGACCTGGTGAGAACAGGGTGGTGGTAAATATATATGTATGTTGTCATTGTCGATGTTTTTTTCACTTATTTTTTTTAAATTGTTTGTATTATTTTCTTAGAATTATTTAATCAATCGGGACACACCCACTTTCAACCCAACACACAATTTTCAAAATATAGTTGTTTTTTAATTTTTTTTTTCTTGTTACATTTTTTAATATTTTTATTAAATATATATTCTTGTTGTTGTTATATATATATATATATATATATATATATATATATATATATATATATATATATATATATATATATATATATATATATATATATATACACACACAAATTGTCTCACCTTACGAACAGTAAAGTTCCTAAGGATTTGACAGAATTGGTTCACAACTTTTCATATTTTCATTGGTTAAGGATTTTACCACAAGAGTTTGTCATATTGGCAATTTAGTCCTTGAACATTCATATGCATTGTATCATTGATACGTGTCATTCTTTCCTTCCCTCTTCCAAGAGTGTCCATCCACCCCCCCCCCCCCCCCTAAAAAAAATCGATTAGTGTCACCACCGCTTGGTTGAACAACCTTCCACTTCCTTCCAGTGCTTCTTCTTCGTTCTTTTACTTCACTTCCGATTCCGTTTTCCTTTTTTCATTTGCTCTGCTTTTTGGGGAACCTTCTGATTCTCGCTTCCATCTCTGATGCGTCGTCTCTACTTCCCTGTTTCCTCATTTATCTTTGCGATTTACGACTACCTTCTGTGCAATAGATCTTCCCTCAAAGAAAAAACCTAAAGTACCATGTTATCTATGATTTCACGTTTCCACTAAAACAGAGAGATCGATAGAGGGAAAGAAACAAAAATTACAAATCGATTTTTTGTGCTTGTCTGTTCAATTGTTGCTAACGAAGAAGGTAGATGAAGAAAGGGATTGAGGAATAGAGACTAAAAGGAGAATGAAGGCAACGGCTTCATTGTTGCTGCTTTTCCGGATTCTATTGCAGTGAAACTGCAGCTGCCGGTAAGGATGGCTACTGGTCGTAGTGGCGACAGTATACGGTGAGGTTAGTATCTCACCTGTAATTTGTTTTCTCTTTTCTTTTACTATGAAAACAGTAACAAAGTTGTGAAAGCACATAGACCAAGCGTGGCTATTGGTCGTAGTGGCAGCAGTATACGGTGAGGTTAGTATCTCACCTTTAATTTGTTTTCTCTTTTTGTTTACTATGAAAACAGTAACAAAGGTGTGAAAGCACATAGACCAAGCGTGTAATTTACTCAATAGTCAATGTTATATGTTACTATATTCATTTGGAAGAGGCGGATTACTTTAAAACTGGTTGATCGAGAGGCTCCGCCACCGGTTGACAACCGCGAATACCACGAAACTAAATCATGCCCTTATATAAAGCCTTTACTATCACTATTAAGTCTAGTTTTTTCATCCCAATGACAAAATGTGTATATCAGTGTTTCTATAGCAAGCTCATCCACTCTACCCGTTTCTTCTATTGCTCAATCGAGATGAATATCATATACGGTGAGTTGAATTTGAATTTCAACCCATTTTTGTACATTTTGCAAAACAATTCAACCATTTATAGATTCAATTTTGTTCAAATATACTTGAACTTTGGCAGATGAGTTTTTGTTGCTAACTACTTATTATAATATGATATGATCGGAAATGAATACTTCTGACTAATTGCTTTGCTATATATGTAAGACCAACGGAGCCACTACATTGGTGGGAAGGTGGAAAAATATTGGGTGGCAGATATGTGACAGCCGACGGAACATGGTTGGCTTCTAGCAGAAAAGGAATGGTAGCTTTTGTTACCAACGTTCGTGAATTGCACTCAATATTTGCTGCAAAGAGTAGAGGTGATCTCCTAGTTCGCTTTTTGCAGGTTGGTTTTTAAGTTTACATTGTATTAAATCATGCCCACTAACTATTTGTTTTTTTCCTGTTGGTATGATTTTGGTAATTTTGATGATTATAGAGCACGAAAAACGCCATGGAGTTTACAGAAGAAATTGCGAAGGAAGCAGATGAATACAATGGATTCAATTTGATAATTGCTGATCTTTTGTCCATGAATATGGTTTATGTAACCAATAGGCTGAAAGGAGATAAGTGTTATGTAACTTCAGTTTCACCTGGGGTCCATGTGCTATCAAATTCAAGTCTAAACACTCCATGGACTAAGGTGAGCAACTACAGCTGCCTATTTTATGCAACAAATTTTCACTTCTTTAGCCAACTTATGCAACAATATCGTGGCCCTAAAAAGAAAAGATGTTGCATAAATTGGAATACTTGTGAAGCATTGTTGCATAAAGGTTAATGTTTTCTTTTTTCTAATATGTATTGTATCTATCTAATTTTGTACTCAGGCTCAAAGATTGGAACATGGTTTTAAAGATGTTTTGGATGAATATGGTGAAGGTGAAATTCCAATTACGATGTTGATTGATAAACTAATGAGAAACACTGTAAAAGATGACATCAGCATGCTTCCCGGGATCTATGGTCTAGATTTTGAGTATGAGTTGAGTTATGTATTTGTTAATACAGTATCTCCAAAGGTAACAATTTTCCCAACTTTCTAATTTTGTTCCATTTTGTCTAGATTTGAAGGTGTTGACGTGGCGTTGACATGGGAAAACATATTGGGTTTATACCCATGTGGATGCCACGTCAATAGTAGGTTGCTATTTCAAGACCTTAACACTTATATTTAATTCTGAATGTTGGTGATTATGGTACACGAAGTACTTCTGCATTGGCTATAAAAGCAAGTGGTGAAGTATTCTTTTATGAAAGTCATCTTGAAAATGGGTTATGGAAAGAGAACACAGAAACATACATGATTGAGAAAATGAAGTGAGGGTTAATGTGTGAAGAAATATAAGTATGTTGTTGTTATGGGTAAAGATATGTAAGTAGTAAGTACTTTGTTATGGGTAAAAAAATAAAAAGTAACACATATTACTATTTCCTGCAACTTGTCTTATTTTTTTTAATCTTATTTGGTATGAAAGTTATAATGTGTGCCTTGAACAAAAATAAATGATCAACTATAAGTTGATATGATGTATGTGATCTTATTTGTAAAAAATAATGAATTTTGAGAAGTTTGTATTATGTACTCGATCAAATTTGTACTTAAGATGGTATTTGGTTTTGTATAAGAAAAATAATTTGGTGTATAATCTAACCTCTGTGCCCCATAGATTCATGGATACCAAGCATCAACAATGTAGAAAATTTACAAATCAGATTCTAGGTGAATAGGATTTACATTAAAGAATGGGTGCAAGATAAAATGTTGGAAAGAATAATATATATATATATATATATATATATATATATATATATATATATATAATATATATATATATATATGTGTGTGTGTGTGGAAATCTTCAGAAAAGTCCTAAAATTTTAGTCCAATTTATGAAAAAGTCTCAAACTAAATTTTATTTACAGAAAAGCACAAAATACCGGTTAAAACTTCGAAAAAACCCTTTTCGGCAGGTTTCGTAGATTTTGCTGGTATTTTGTCATTTTTCTTTAGTTTGCTCAAATTTTTGGGACTTTTCCAAAAATCACATAATAACCAAAATATTGGGACTTTTTTTGAAAATTATCATGAAATTAATGGATATTATTATTAGCAAATCAGTTATAAACATAAAAAATATATTTATTATAAAAAAAAGGAAATACATTTGTTGCTAATTTCTAGGAATAAATTGGTGGTCTATGTACTACTCTATTGCTTCCTGGCCACTCAAACTCTCTACGTTCTTCCTATGCATTGTTGTGGGTGTGATAGTAAGATGAACTTAGTTAGCATTCCTCTAATGTTGGTGTTCTTATGATTTTTAACCTAAATACCAACCAACATTTATATCTTGCATGTTAACAACCATCGGCTAACATACATCTATAATATGTGGAAAGTGAACCGTGAATGATGATTTATATGGAAACAACTAAAGGGTGATTATCTATTTAAATTGTCATTCGAAGTTTACTCTTCACTTTCGATAGATGTGTGTAATTTTATGGTTGTTACTGAGTAATATTTTGAGGTTAGGTGGTAGTTAGGTTAAAGAACATAATGAAAGATTTATATGTTCGTGTAATGATATTTTCTAATAACACGTGATCATATAACGTCATCCCTAATAACAAGTAGAGAAAAATGACAGAATACCGGCCAAATCTACGAAACCGGCCAAAAAGTGTTTTTTCAAAGTTTTAGCCGGTATTATGTGCTTTTTTGTAAACAAAAATTAGTTCGGGAGTTTTTCGTAAATTAGATTAAAATTTTAGGATTTTTCTTGAGATTTCCCTATATATTATATATATATATATATATATATATATATATATATATATATATATATATATATATATATATATATATATATATATATATATATATATATGTGACGTTGTCGCTGACATGTAAGATTCCCAATGGATTCATTTTGCTCTTTTCTGCAATGCAAAACATTATTATGTCTTTTTAAACCATAAATAAGTTACAAACAACATCGATGATCGTAGGTTATAGTATGGAAACCTTTTAAAAGGGAGAGTGTAAATGAAGTTGTGAGGATGAATGGTATTGTCACAATGGTCATGAACAAGACACACATCATGATGCTCATGAAGAGATTGCCTTCTGCTGTGAGATCCAATGGAATTTCAACTGTAATATTCATATTCTAAGAATGGGAAAGTCCTTGTGACTTTTTCCCTGGGGAGGTGCTAACACAAACTTCATGCGGCCTTTACTCATGTGTGTAAGAAGCATTATAATTTTCATCATATTGAGCATAAGTAATCTTCTAAGATTAAGATATGATTGATTTTGTTTTGTTGCTAAAATGTTGGAACTTTTGCTGGTGATATGAATTTTATTATCGAATGTTTCAACAAGTATTGCATATTTAAGTTTTTGACATATTAGTCAAAAGCTACTACACTTCACAGAGAGCATACCAAAATGCGATATATATATATATATATATATATATATATATATATATATATATATATATATATATATATATATAATATATATATATATATATATATATATATATATATATAATTTATTAATTTCAACCGTAATAGAAGACTAAATTACTTTCATAACTAGATGCACTTTCATTTATTTGTGAATTATAACATTGTATATTTATCTATTTCTTCATTTTTCATCCTAATAACAAACAAATCCCAAAAAAATGAAACACCTCTAACCCATGCATAGCATGGGTTCACCACCTAGTTGTTGTTGTTGTTATTATTATTATTATTATTATTATTATTATTAAAATAAAGAATAGTATTAAAAATATTTTTTCTAAGTATCACAATGAAACGTTATCTATTTCTTTTTGCCTTTGTGAAATATTTCTAACGTATGTTACGAACTACTTTTATTTAGACTTGTAATGTTGATCACTATGGTTTCTATTTGCTAGGATATCAACTTCAAAAAACTCACAAACGAAAGCCACTAGAGAAGCAAAACTCGGTAGCCTGTTGGATAAAATCAAGCCACCACGACTCGAAGATGCAGGTCTTAAGATTGTGCACTTCCCCCAGACTCCATACAGGAAGCCTTCCTAAAGGCTGCAATAACTGACAACTCACATATGTTCCACGACTTTGATGATGAATTAGAAGGAGATTGCATCAATGATCCACTTGTTGGAATCACAACCAAGGTTGATCCACTTTACGCTTGTGATCCAAAGAAAGGCGGTGAATTGCCAAAGACGATAGGAGATTAGGCGGTTACTGGCAGCAATGAGGGTATAACGGAAAAGGTGGTTGAACCAGAGGTGTTAGGTGATATTAAGAGATAAAGAAATAGAATTTTCTCATTAGATTGAAATGAATAACAGCTCTACCATTTATATACAAACTTCTAACTACCACAACTAACTAAATGGTAAATTACAGAATTAACCCTCAACTATTACATAAGTACATAGAGTGACCAAATATACATTTCTATATCTAATATTCCCCCCTCAAGATGGAAGAGGAGAATATATGTTCTTCAAAGCCATCTTGGACATAAGAGGGAGTAACTTGGTAGATGGTAGCGGTTTTGTGAACAAATCTGCTAACTAAAATTGAGACTTAATGGGCATTAATCGAATAGTCTGATTAATAACTATTTCTCGAACAAAATGTAGATCTATCTCCAAGTGTTTGGTACGTTCATGGAAAATTGGATTGGTAGCAATCTTGATGGCTGAATCATTATCACAGAATAATAATGTTGCTTCTAGATTATCAATAACAAAATCTCGTAACAACTGTCTCAACCATATTATCTCACAAGTAGTAGAAGCAATAGCTCTATACTTTGCTTCAGCTGATGAACGAGATATAGTAGTTTGTTTCTTAGATTTCCACGTAACTAAAGAATCACCAAGAAATATGCAAAAAAAAAACAGTAATAGATTATAACGCCCGTGTTTCTGGGAAAAGTATTGATGATGATGTAATAGTCTAGATCAACCATTGTAACCTATTTTAAAGTAATAAAGATGATTTACATGAATATTATGTGAACTATGTGCTTTTATGTGATTGTATACTTGTTTGTAAAGATATAATAAAATAAGCGTCAAAAATAAAATGTTAGATAAGCCTATTACCGATGAAGGAATTCGTAGTGTTCGTTAAACCAAGAGCGTGCATCAAAAGAAAGCCCAAATCTGACTTCGTATGAGGAAGTTATGATTTTTCTAAGTTTCGGATCAGTAGTGCACATCCCGAAGTTCGAATTTTAGATCGAGTGATTTTTGCCGACACAACCTAAATGAAAATCGAAGATCTCATTTATAGGAGTTCAACGATAAAAATATGGTCGAAAATGGAGTTTGTATGTAGAAGTTATGAATTCTACACGGTCGTTTAGCAGTGTAATCCTCTCATACCATTAAATTTAAAATCGATCGAGAATTAGCCGATTAAGTCTAAATAAAAGTTGTAGAACATGTTCCCACCTACGCATAGATATAAATAACATCGAAAACGGAACTCGTATGAAAAAGTTACAAATTTTAGAAGTCATAGGTGCAAATTGCGAAGCTGGATGCGAGGCTACGCCCTGCGTAGACTTCGGACGCCTCACATACCAAGTACGCCCCGCGTACACCGAAGGTACGCTCAATGTTTTGACTTTTTCTGCGGTTCCAGAGCTTTCCACATAATTGCACTAAAGATCCGACACGTATGTACAAACCTCGGTATGCCCCGCGTCCGAGCTGCAGTACCCCAGCGTACGTCCGAGGCCTCGGCCTATAAATAGGTGCGACGGCTGCCGAGATTTTTGCTCATTTTCTTCATATCTTTCACTCTCTACTCTCTCTAGCCTATCCCCCCCCCCCCCCCGAAGCCTAGGAAACCTTTCTAGCACTAGAAGAAAGCCTCGGAGAGCCCGGAGTCTCCAAGAAAAAAAAAGTTTTCGGTTTAGAAACTTTGCCCCCGCAGAGCTCGGTTTTCAAGAAATCTCCCATTTTCGTCGAAGCGAAACGTTGTCCAAGTTGGAATCACCACCTTATCAAGTGAGTGTATAGTCACTATCATCTTACACATAGATATGAAGTATTTTATGTGCTCTGTGTATATGTATATG